ATCCCTTCGCAGGGACAAGGCAAAGAGTGGCTGTCGGTCACAGGACAAGGGAAAGAAGAAGCGTCAGATCACACGGTACGATGCCCAGCTGATACTGGAGAACAACACTGGCATCCCCAAACTGACGCTTCGACGCCGGAGAGACAGTAGCAGTAGCAAGACCAATGATCCCAAGGATTCCATTGGCTCCTCCAACCTTTCTGCCTCTATGGTCAATTCAGCCTCTTCCAGTAAAATTAGCATCAAGTTTAGCAAGGACCATGATAAGGACAAAGGCAGCTCATACATTGCCAAACTGAATAATGGCTTTGCCCCTGTAGTCCATGGTAACACCACCAAGCTGAAGATACAGCTGAAGAGAGAGGACGATGCACGGCGAATATCCCAGACAAAGGCAGACCAGATGTCCTATAATGGGGACATGGGTCAGAGTCTGGAGGCCAGGAATGGTGGACATCGAACCCAAAAGGCCCTGGCAGACCCTTCTTCTGATGAGGACAACGAGGAAGATGGGGAAGAGGATGATGAATATTTTGACAATGAGTTTGAAGACGATTTCATTCCACTTCCTCCAGCAAAGCGCCTCCGACTCATTGTGGGTAAAGACTCCATAGACATCGATATCTCCTCCAGGAGGAGAGAGGATCAGTCTCTGAGGCTCAATGCATAAGCTGTGGAGCTCATCACTCCCACCTTTCCTTGTAAATAAAGATGACCTGCTAATCAACTGTTGTGTTGATGTAAAAGAACTACAGTAATTTAAAAACAATTTTTTTTTGCTGAAAAATTAAGAATCTGAGTGAACGTTACTAGAGGGTGCTGTTAACCTAAAACAAATTTCTGTTATTCACTTAAGTTGTCTTCATTAAGTGTAATTTTAGTTTTCATTAAGATCATGCTGGCTCTGCACACCTGAGTATTTGACAGGTGTGCGGGAAAGGCATCTAGCTGAAGAAACCAAGCAGGCATGCTTTAGATTTTATTTATTAGTCCACAATGTTTCAGTCAAATTGACCATCACATATGAGAAGATGAAACATCCTTCCATCTGTATATGGCAGAGTTGCCTTCAAAATCTAGTTGAGACATATTAGGAAACAACATGGTGGAATTATTTTTCTTTTTTAGTGTGTTGTTCACATAGTATGTCTTGACAGAATGTATTGTTATACCTATATGTGCATTTTTTTTTACACCATAGTTTATTTCTGGTGAAGAGTGATGACAAGGTACCATTAATTATTGCTATAATTCCTAGTGTTTGTCAGTTGGATGATTGAAGGGAACATTGCCACATATAGATGGAAGGATGTTTAATTTTCACATACCTGGTGAAAGTCAGACTGAAACATTTATGGATTAATAAATAAAGTTATTGTGCGATTTTTGCCTTTATTGGTTCCTTCAGCTAAAGTTTTAATTAGGACAGGTTACAGTGAATAAGCAAATGTTTACTTACCTAGTATGTCTTTCATGGCATTTTCTCTCCATAGTGTGCTAAATGTAAACTAGAGGAATTTGCCAAACCATGCTATTGTGGTTTCTGAACAGTTTGGCCTGATCATAAGTGAAAAATGAGAATTTGTTTTGATTAACTACTCTTTTAAGTGAATGCACTTGTTATATTCATAATGGACATGGATATTGTAGAAAGTGTACAGTATGGTGACTATCCCCTCTGTCTCATAGGCAGATTTTATTGAACTTCTGCTTTTTGTCTCATAGTTTGTCATCTTTGTGTGGTAAACCATGCTGGATGTGCAAGTATGTGTGGTTAGTCCATAGGCATTATAAGATCAGTCCATCAGATACAAGTGCCATGTTCTCATTATCCCAGTAGTTTTTTTTTTCGTTTAAAGAACCACTTGAATATCACTGTCTTTAATTATCAGCATCATTTAATGTGTAAGTTAATCACGTGCACTTAATCATAGAATGTTAAACTTTTTGTTTTTCATGTTGGAAAGAATGTTTATATATATATATAATATCAATTTAGTGACACGCTACAGAAGAAAACAGTCATACAGCACTAACTTTGTTGTGTATTTAGTTTACCAGTAGCTGTCACACGTTCATAACGTGAAAGAATGATTTTTTTTTCCCATCAGGAGCCCCCTACATTTCATTCAGAGCGCTGTATATAAGTTAACTAGGCTCCAGAGTTGGGGTTTTATGATCAGTCGAGTACAGTCGATGTTAGAAATTAAATGAACCAGTGGGTGTTTTTTTTTTTTATTCAGTTTTGTTTTTGGAGCTGCTGTATAATGGTAACATGGCACACATGGTAGGCTAACCCTTTTAAACAAATGAGAACGTAAACCAAACCCACATAAAGGCTACCTATATGCTCTTTAAATCATTAAAAGTAATGTACAGAAAAACTGGCTATTGTCCCTCAGCTGAATTATGATATTCATTTTCTCTCAAGTCCAGTTCTCACTTCTTTTTATTTAGCTAATCTGATTTTGAAAGGAAGTTAACCAAAGCTGCAACAATTGGTGATTGACAGAAAAGTAAAATGTTATAATTTTGGCTTCTCAAATGTGAGCATTTTCTGGTTTCCTGGCCTTCTGTCACACTAAAATCACTGTGTTTGGGTTTCAAACTGTTTAAAGATGCCACTTTGAGAAATAGTGATGTTTTTTTTTTCAGTTTTCCAACATTGACACAAATGACTAATTGATTTTTAGAGAAAATAAGCAACAAATTAAGCAGTACACGTCAGTCCTGATGTTATTGTTGTCCATTGATGGTAGTTTTGAGGAGGAAAATCACACTTCGTAAAAAAATCTTTACTAGCTTAGAAACATGTATTCTCTGTGGTGCTACTTTTTATTTCTACACCATCTGTTTGAATTTGTCCTGTATAACTGTATTGATAGGTGTTGGGAGCATTAATAGGCCCAAATTCCATAGAATTGCTCAACATCAGTAATACACATTTTATCAGTTTCATTTGTAGCTTTTTAAGTTGTACTCTGTTTTTGTTTTCTTCACAGGAGCACATGTACTTTTTTAAGTTTGCAAAATTGTAGAAATAACTATCAACAGCATTAGGTGCCTTAAGAAGAGCTTGTTGACAAATTAGACCAAATTTGTAAAACAACTAATCAATGAAGAGTGAAAATGCTAAACCATGTGCTCCCCCCTTAAAAGACTGAAACAGAAGTCCACCTTCAGTCCTTCTGTATATTAGTTTATTTTTGTTGTGTGGAAGTAAATGAACTGCCCAATAGATCAAGGGATCAACTGAGATTGAATGATAGCCCACTTTTCTTGTGTTATGTACTGTTCATATCACCAGCAGCTAATCCCCGTTCTGAACCTGGCTCAGTTTGTCCTTCCCTTTCATCGGACATTTCAATCTTACACTGTAAACTGTTCCAGGTGTACCGTCTGTGTGATCTTTGTCCAATAGACAGCTGTCAAGATTTCCAGTTGATTCAAAAGGTAAAAAGAAGAGAAGAAAGCAAAACAAATGTGAATAGTTTGCAGACATTTTAGTGTGTTGCTTGGGTAGTGGGAAACCTGTAAAGAGAATTAAAAATGGGCAGTGCATATATTGTCCAATATGTAAATCATGTGAACACATCTTGTACTTATTTAACAGTTTTGAATACTTGAAAACTATATAAAGTTTCTTTGTGACTCTTGTTTTTTTTGAGTGTGTTTTGAGGTCTGCTCGATGCTGATCAGTGTGCTATTTTTCAACCTGAAAACCGGAGCCGTGTCCCAAGTCCAAGTTCTGCAAATCATCATTTTGTATGAGGAGGTAGTATAATCAATCAATCAATGAAACATTGACATGCTAACAGCAAATGATAGAATACGTGTAAAGTCACACAATAGCTGCAATTTTGGCATAAATGCTACAGGCAACAAAGCATTAAAACCGCAATACACAAAAATAGGGTAATAGTATTTTCCCCAGGGCTATTACCCTATTTTTGTGTGTTGTGGTTTTAATGCTTTGTTGCCTTTATGTAACGTTTCTATTTTAAGACTAAGTGTTTTTTCTGGCTTTTGACTCCTTACCTGACTCAGTCAGTCCTGGAATAGTTTATTCATCTGTGCCATAGACCTCCACTGTTGTTCAAAAATGATTAAAAAATATCAGTGAAACACACCTCTGCACTGGGTGACATGTTTCCTCATTATATAACACAAGACCCTAATATTAAAAAAAAAAAAAAAACAGTTGCCCCAGATCTATATGTACAATGTATATTTACAGGTGTTGCACTGAGGGTTTATTGTCCAGACATACTGTCATGGGTTAAGTGTTCATCAGAGTGATGGGGGGAAAAATTGTCCTTGTGCCTGGTTGTCTTGGCACACAGTGACCTGACTGTCCACCGGAGTCTGTTCCTGTCCTGTTTGGTAGCTGAGCCAAACCAGACAGTGATGGAGGTGCAGAGAACAGACTTGATGATTCCTCTGTAGAACTGTATCTGGAATGATGGTGGTGGAGCGTTTGAAGCAGGAGGGGACTTCACACAGCTCCAGTGATTATTTGTATAAGCAGGAGAACTGAGTTAAACTAAGTAAACTAAAAAAAAGAGACAAAACGGCTGGGAACCAAAACAAAAATACTAAATGTGACAAATGAACAACATTCTACATAGTTTCATTATTTGTGTTTTCACAATAAGAAATTATATATATCTTTCCAGTTTTAAATAAATAGTTTTTCTTTTTTACATTAGCAGATTATATGTTTTTCCTCTTTTCGTTGTTTATTGAAACAAAACAATCAAAGAATATGTGTCTATATGTATTACATATTTAACAAAAATGAGAAATGTTTGCCTCCTATTTAGAGTGTGTACCTTTTTTTTCAGCCAATCAGAAGTGTCCTGCCAAAGCTGTATCCAATCAGATTTCAAGGAGCGCTATTTGAAAGCTGCTCGACTCTCTGTTGTTTATCTGAATGTTTAGTGTTCAAGGCTCTTATGGGTAAAGAGTGCTGGTTGGTGCTAAAGTAAGTCACTCTGTCGTTTCTTTGAGTCATTGTTTCACCTTGCTGCTGTCGACGTGAAACATGTCGTCTGTGGCCGTTCGTGCTGTGGTGAGTAAACTCATTTTATTTTACTGTCTCACTGTTGTGATGCGGTTGCTATTAGCATCGTTAGCTAACATGGCCGCCTGTTTCCTGGTTGGCTTCTGTAAGTTTGTTCGCCTGTGCTTTTAGAATGTTGGCTACCGGGCAACTAGTGATGTATCGGTCACTAACGAGTTGGGCTCTTTGGTTAATGCACCACAGAATGATAGGTGAGCTTGTCGCCTCACCGGTCAGCCACAGGGACTCCATGCACTGAGTGAAGGTTGTGTGTGTGTATATACTGTGTGACCAATCGAGTGATGACAGAAGGATCTTATTGTCAGATTAAAAGGGGGAGGGGTGGGCTGATGGCCTACAGAACGGACTCCCCTAGGGGGGAGCGCACGAACAGCAGAAGATGAGTGACACTCCCAAGCAAAGTAGACTATGGTTGATTTTAATAAGCTGAACAACACAAAGGCATAATGTAGAATTTGTAAAATAAACTGTCATATCGAGCAGGCTCTAACAGTCTTCACAGGCATATTGGAACTGTACATCCAACATAGTGTTGTATGTTTGTACATTGATTTAATACCAAACAATATTTTTAAGGCTTAGTATATAATTGGATTGAATAATTCAAGTGAAACAGGTGCATAGGTCAAAATGTTGCTGAATTATAAAAGCCAGATGTAGTACTAAATGGGGACCTGAAAGAGCCAACTGTTATTGCAGTGCTGAGCCAAATCATCCAGTTCTCTGAAAAGAGCTGGAAATCCCATTACTACCATCAACACTTTACATTTAAGCGGTACGTATTTCCTAAGCTTCTCTCTATCTAATGGGTGTTATTTCCTTCTCTTTTAGCAGCTCCCACCCACAGAGAACCCAGGGAAGATGGGTAAAACCACAACAGCTGTGAGGAGAGCTGCTCTTGGAGAGAGAACCAACTTTCCAGGAGCAGCAGTCAACACAAAGGTATGGAGGGAGTTGCATTATGGTCTTAATGTGTAGTAATTCCTCTTAGGTTTGCCATGTTTTGTTGAAGGCACACTATATATACACCTTTTGAACTGAACAGTGGCCTCGCATGTCAGTTAGCTACAGGCTAACTGTAATGCTAGCTAATAAAAGGCAATGCTAGTGTGTTTGTTCTGTGAGTTGAGTATTACATTTCAGGGCAGGATTATTTCCTCATGTAAGTATTTGCACTACATGGTTCTGTCACTGTATATAACAGGTAAATTGGTTCTGTTGATACACTGGCACTTGGACTGTAGCTTAACTAAGGTAATATTGCATTAGTTGCTTTTGAATAAGACACTTTTCCTTCAGTGTTGCTATGAATGCAACTTTTTTGGCTTTAATGCTACTGATAAAACTGTTGTCTTATAAATAACTTACAACTGCCACATTGGCATTTGACCTGTTCCCTCAGAGGACTGGACCAGCCAAAGCATCAGCCAAACCATCTTGTGACCTAAAAGTAAATGCCAGTGCGGTGGTGCCTCCAGTAGTCCAGGTCCAAGCACCTGCAGATCCTCTCCCTTCAGTTTCAGAGGAGTCAGCTGATGCCTCCATGGAGGAGGAACTCTGCCAGGCTTTCTCTGAGGCGCTGCTCACTGTGCAGGATGTCGACGAGCAGGACGCAGACCTGCCACAGCTCTGCTCCGAATATGTCAAAGACATCTATAATTATCTGCTAGACCTGGAGGTGATTTATTCCCCTACTCACCAAATGTGCTTCGTTTTTAATTTATCTGGTGTTAAAGCATGGTTTGTTTCCACAGGTGCAGCAGGCTATACGCCCAAACTACATGGAGGGTTATGAAATCAGTGAACGCATGCGAGCTCTTCTGATCGACTGGCTGGTCCAAGTGCACGCCAGGTTCCAGCTGCTGCCGGAGACTCTGTACCTCACAGTTGCCATCCTGGACCGTTTTCTGCAGGTAAGCACCCTCTCGCTATCTTTTCTTTCTTTTGTGAGCTCAGTTTTATTTAAAACAAACAAAAAAAACCTTCCCTGATGTGTTGCAGGTCCAGCCAGTCTCTCGCAGAAAGCTGCAGCTTGTTGGTGTCACTGCCATGCTGGTGGCCTGTAAATATGAGGAGATGTACGCTCCAGAAGTCGGCGACTTTGCCTACATCACAGACAATGCATTTTCAAAGTCTGAGATTATGAAGATGGAGCAGCTGGTTTTGAAGAGCCTTAATTTTCAGCTGGGACGTCCTCTTCCATTACACTTCCTCAGGCGGGCTTCAAAGGTGGCTAATGTGAGTTTTGCCATCCGGATGTGAAGATTTACTGAGAACACTTGTCAAAATTATATTTAACACTTTGTTAAAACATGGTACGTAAATAGTATCTGATCAATATTTTCAGTTTAGGTCAATCTGCAATAATCAGTCGCCTGATAAGAGTTCCTCCCTTGCAGTGTTTAAAATGGATCAACAAAATGCACTTAAAACTCCATGTAGGCGTCAGTTGTCTGCAGTCACAATGGACAGACTGTGCACAGATTCGGCTTGAAGCAAATTGTTGGTCTCTTATTAGATCAGCCAGTGTTTTAGGTACTTGCAGGCCCCAGCCCTTTTGGTCTAAACTGACAAGAGCTGGCTTGTTTTCTGCTTGTCAGAGTCTAATGCAGCTTTGTAATTTTTCTAGATCCTTGAATACCAACAGAGTGGGAGTGCAGATTTTTATTTTGTCTAAAATTGTTTATCTGATTTTAATTTTACTGCTGAGTCTCCTGTCAGATGGTTAAATAATGCCTTGAATGAGAGTTTGCATGCTGTTAAGCTTGTACCCAATAATTATGGGCAAATACTGAAGGAAACTCTTTGAAAAACTTCGGGGGGAAAAAAATGTTTTGCCAGAACTGGTCAGATTAATGTGTCCAAACACTGAGGCAAGTTTTAGTACTGCAAAGTTTTGTAAACTACAAGTCTTTTCTGTTTTAGTGTGATGTAGAGAGACACACGCTGGCCAAGTATCTGATGGAGCTGACCCTCCTCGACTATGACATGGTGCACTACCGGCCCTCTGAGATTGCTGCTGCTTCCCTGTGTCTCTCCCAGCTGCTGCTTAACGGGCTGCCGTGGGTGAGTGTGGACCTCGAGTGTCTGCTTTTTATATAATTATGCTGCTTGTGCTAAATTGTTCTGCCTTGTCCCAGTCGGCTACACAGCAGCACTACTCTACTTATGATGAGGCCCACCTGAAGCCAGTCATGCAGCACATTGCCAAAAATGTTGTGACTTTAAATGAGGGGAAAACAAAGTTCCAGGTGAGTTGGCTAATGAAGCACAGTCTTTTATTTTTTTTTTTTTTTGTCTGAGGTTAAACTTGAACCATGTGTCATCTGCAGGCTGTGAAGACCAAGTACTCCAGCAGTAAGCTGATGAAGATCAGCCTCATTCCTCAGCTGAAGTCGTCAACCATCAAGAGCATGGCAGCTCCTCTGCTCGGCAGTCACTGATGGGAACTTTTACATTTTATAAGTGGACATTTCACTTGCACTTTAGTTTTTCTGTATTTTAATAAAATGTTTTATAACTTTATTTAAGCATCATTGGATTGTTCAGACATTGGACCACTAACTTAGTTTTGCATTTATGCCAAAAAGTGGTACAGAGGTGTGTGTGCGCGCACACCTCTTTAACCTCAATTTATGCCGTGTGCCCCTGGACCTCACTGGAAATTGCCCTCCAATGGCAGTTTAGCGCCGATCAAATCTTGGAACAAGTCTAAAAGTTAACTTTATCAAAGCTGCACTAATGCATCTTCTTTCTTGCTTGTACATTTTAACTGGATGGCGCAAAGCCTAGCAGTAACATTCATCTGTGTTAAGTGCTTTGAAATTCCTACATTACATCCGTCTGGGGTCCAAAACATTTGAACTTTTTATTGTACAAGTGTGGGGGCAGTAATCGCTGCTTTGGTTTTACGGTCACTGGAATTAACTGAATCATATTTCTAACATTAAAATATTCAAAATGCAAATGAGTTTGGCATATACTGTTTGATACACTTTACTTAAAGCTACACTATGTAACTTTCCAAATATTGCAGAAATGTGTTCCAAAACTTGCCTTAATGTCCAGAGATGCTGTTGAAGCCTCCTGTGACCGGGACCTGAAAGAGCCAACTGTTATTGCAGTGCTGAGCCAAATCATCCAGTTCTCTGAAAAGAGCTGGAAATCCCATTACTACCATCAACACTTTACATTTAAGCGGTACGTATTTCCTAAGCTTCTCTCTATCTAATGGGTGTTATTTCCTTCTCTTTTAGCAGCTCCCACCCACAGAGAACCCAGGGAAGATGGGTAAAACCAGAGGAATGGGCCTCTAACCAATCAGGTTTTCAATTATTAGGTTCAGTTGCATTCTCACTTATTGTAATTTCATAACTAATATCTGAAGAGCAGAGTGTAACAGGGAGAGGGAGCGCTGGCTGAAGCAGAGTGGGTTGATTTGAAGTTTCATGCTAAACTACATACTGTAGTTTTAATTTAATGCTGGATATTAAAAGCTGCATTATGTAAGATTTGGTTAAATGGAGTTAAAGTGTTGTCTCTCCTGGTGTACCCACCCCACTCTGCTAATTTCAGGCCCTGTGTTTATTTCTCTATGGCCAGTGTTAAAATCCACGCCACACTTCTTCCATGTTGCTACTGATCTGTGGAGGCTCCCCTGTATAGGTACAACCCAGGGTTGGAGTGGACCTGTTAGACCCAAGAGGCTACAGCTGTGAGGAGAGCTGCTCTTGGAGAGAGAACCAACTTTCCAGGAGCAGCAGTCAACACAAAGGTATGGAGGGAGTTGCATTATGGTCTTAATGTGTAGTAATTCCTCTTAGGTTTGCCATGTTTTGTTGAAGGCACACTATATATACACCTTTTGAACTGAACAGTGGCCTCGCATGTCAGTTAGCTACAGGCTAACTGTAATGCTAGCTAATAAAAGGCAATGCTAGTGTGTTTGTTCTGTGAGTTGAGTATTACATTTCAGGGCAGGATTATTTCCTCATGTAAGTATTTGCACTACATGGTTCTGTCACTGTATATAACAGGTAAATTGGTTCTGTTGATACACTGGCACTTGGACTGTAGCTTAACTAAGGTAATATTGCATTAGTTGCTTTTGAATAAGACACTTTTCCTTCAGTGTTGCTGTGAATGAACATTTAATGAATGCAACTTTTTTGGCTTTAATGCTACTGATAAAACTGTTGTCTTATAAATAACTTACAACTGCCACATTGGCATTTGACCTGTTCCCTCAGAGGACTGGACCAGCCAAAGCATCAGCCAAACCATCTTGTGACCTAAAAGTAAATGCCAGTGCGGTGGTGCCTCCAGTAGTCCAGGTCCAAGCACCTGCAGATCCTCTCCCTTCAGTTTCAGAGGAGTCAGCTGATGCCTCCATGGAGGAGGAACTCTGCCAGGCTTTCTCTGAGGCGCTGCTCACTGTGCAGGATGTCGACGAGCAGGACGCAGACCTGCCACAGCTCTGCGTATAAGATAAGCAGACACTGGGACTGTGTTTCTGTATGTTCATGACACATGAGGCTGTAGAATAACACCACTTATGAATGCAGCTCATGTTCCCTCACATGCTGAACTGACTTATGTGCTGTGGTGTGTAGAGGAGCATTGTACTCATCGGGCTGAGCCTGACCTCACCACCACCCTCATCCTCCAAATATACATGTCAATCAGTATGTTGTGAACCAATGGGGTGAAGCAGAACACAACTGTAATCTGCAAAACACACAGCAGAAATGCAGTAATAAGTTGCAAGTTGCCCCAGAGGTGGAATCTAAGTACATTTACTGAATTACTGTCCTTATGTACAGTTTTGAGGTATCTGTAATTTAGTTGAGTATTTTCAATTGGCTGCTGCTTTATACTTTAACTTCACTACATTTCACAGAAAAATCTTGTACTCTGTGCTCACTACATTTATTTGATACCTTTAGTTACTAGTTACTTTTCTGAATGAGATTAGTAAAACTAAATGCAGACATGACTTTACTGATCCTTGGTGTAAAATTCACAAGCTCCCTAGCAACATGTAAAGCACTTTAAATTCTAACCATATACTGTAGTTAACATTAGCTCTACCACTTTAAGTATATGTTTATGCTCATACCTCTGTACTTTTACTTAAGTAGCATTTTGAATGCAGGATTTTCACACTGCCATACTGCAACTTTTAAGTAGGCTAAGGGATCTGAGTAGTTCTTCTAACATCTTACTAGCCTACTACTTCTACTAACAACAACAGTAACAGGTAAACAGACAGGTAAGCCCTACAAGCTGCCTTACTTTTAACCAGTTTTATTTAAAGGTTCATTTGTACAGTTTTACACGTCTCAGCAGTTCTTTTGCAGAATATAGGCTACATGGGATTTGCAGTACAACCGACCTTGTTACAAAAACACATTTTTATGACTTTTTATAAGCTTTCCTTTTTGTCTGCGGCTCATGCATACTTTTGTTTTTGCAGTGCAGGTCTGCTTTTAATCGTCTCTTTCCCCATGGGCCCGGGTGTTGCGGGGATTTAGAGGTTAAAAAGGGGCAGCCGACTCGTCCATTCTCATATCTGCCACATGGTGGGGACCAGAGATTCCCATCCTGCTGTCTGTCTGTCTTCTGCTTCAGTCCGCGCACTTTGTGCTGCTGCTGCTTTATTGTCCCCGTCGAGCAGGAGGTCGCTCGGAGCGCACACAGGACACGCACGGCTCTCCGTGACACAGACACCGCGTTTCTCTGCAGTTTGGCGCAAAAAAACACGTAAGTAACCAACAACTCCAGCTCAGCCTGGTGCAATGTGCGGAAACGGCTTCATGATCTTTGAGCACGAGGCGCGTGTGGCTGTTCGGGTGATTGGGTTCATATTGATCATCAGATCGCTGATTGATTGGTAGTTTGTGACGATCAGCACGTTTCAGTTCTGTTTTCTAAATGGAATGACATGATGATGATGATGATGATGATGATGTGGCGTCTCTGTGGTTGATTTCCATATCTGACGCAATGAAGACTTTGGCAAACCACTTGTTACTTTTGTGAACCGCTGGAGCACAAGTTGGTAAAACAGGACGACTCCGATCGTGTAGCCTACTTTTTGAGGTTCTTCTAAAAGATCATGGGATCATGTGGATAATTCAAAGATTTTCAGAGGTTTATTTGCTACAGCTTATCTAACTGTTGGTCAGCAAAAACATGCCATGGTCTGGTTTGCTGAGTGTAATATGGTGAAAAGGGAAACTGAATGTAAAGCTGCTCTTTCACTATGAGGGAGAGGAGAGCTGCCTTCATCCCACACCTTTGACTGTTATCAGTTCTTGCAGGCTGACCCAGTTAATGTCCTGTTTTTGTAAGGCCACATTTCACCCCATTTTCATGCCAAAAAGGATTGTGTTTTCAGCTAAATTTGACGTTTACAGCATCAGAAAGGGCAGTGTCTGTACTTGTCTCCTAGCCAGCTGTTCCACGTGTCTGCTGGTTGTGACCAGTTCAACCAGTGTCATCTTTATTTCCATTATTTTAGCTTTAGAGCCATAAAGTGGTGAAATAGCCAATATTTTACTATAAAAACTTAAAGATTAGATGAAACTCTGGAAAAAGTAAACCCAATTCTGTGTAGTAAAATGAGCTCTGTATGGTTCCCATCATGTTAACAAGGTTTCTGTTGTAGGAATCACTGACTCAGATATCATGAGAGCCTGAAACCCTTTAAACTTAATAAAAGTACAGCTCAGTGATGCAGCTTGGCTAAAGTACAGCTCTACCTAGAAGAACAGACAAATGAAATTGGAGCAATGTGTGCAGAGACAAAGGTTGACTGGAGGACCTTTGGGCTGTTTTGAGTGAAACAGAAACCACAAAAGGTGGATCTTCAAATTAATGTCTAATTGCTGACCCTTTTTATTTAAGAAAATACTTATTCAAACTGTAATGACTTGTTAAATTTTACAGTCTATAGCGGATCAGTTGAAGGAGTTTGCCTTGTCCTCCCCCAGGGAGGACCTCTAAAAATTCACTATCATCTTGACCCGTTGCACATCTGTCAGTAAAGTTGATAAGAGCTGAGGCCAGACACTAGTGAACAAAGCCATGCTGATTGGATAACTGCAACACAAAAGTGTCTGATTAGTAGTGTTTAGCTGGCAGCATGCCAGTTCTAATGGATTACATCCATCCATTATCTTTACTGGTTATCCTGGAGAGGATAAGTGGGGGGGCTGGAGCTGGAACTAATCCTATCTGACATTTGGGTGAGAGGCGGTGTGCACCCTGGACAGGTCACCACAGGGCTGACATGTAGACAAACACTCTTGGGGACGATTTAGAGTCACCAGTCAACCTAAGCTGGATGTCTTTGGGCTGTGGGAGGAAGCAGGAGCACCCAGAGAGAAGCCATGCAAACTCTGCACAGAAAGGCGCCAGAGCATTAACCTGAAACCTTCTTGCTGTGAAGTGACAGCGCTAACCATTGTATCACCATGTGGCCAATGAATTGCATGAATATAAAAAGAACTTTTTGAAGTAGTGATTGTGTTTTAACGCCTGCTTTATTTGGTATACCCTGGAAACTGATGTGCATTTAGCGTTTTCAGTAATGACTGTTCATTATCGGTTAATCTGGCTAGTTTTCTTGATTATTCCATTGATTGCTTGGTGCATAAAATGTTCACAGAGCACAAGATGGTATCCACACTTGGTTTGTTTTGTCTGACAGGCAGTCCAAAGCCTAAAGAGAATGTGCTTGCAAACAGAAAATCTCATGTGAGAGCCTGCAGGCAGTGAAGTTTGGCTTTTTTTTGTCTTAAATGACTCAAGACCAGCCATTTATTTTCTTTCAATCGATTAATCGACTAATCCCGAACCAGAGTCACTGAATGGCTCTTGTCTGAAAGGTAACAAAAGATTGAAACTGGTTCAGTATGTTCATACCATTCAGCTCCTCTGTGAACTGAGCTGTGTCCCCTTTTAAAGCTAAGTGGGACTGTTGTGTGTCTTGTGAGGATGTGTTGCATATAGAAATGTGGGCCAGTGTTTTGTGTGTGTGGTGGCATATCCTCTCCCAGTCAGAAATGGAGCTTTCTCCCCCTTCTGTCCCCTCTCTGAGTTCTTCCATTCCTCAACACATGAGGCTGTAAATCAGTTCAGCTGCAGGGCCTGCTTCTCTCCAGCATGACCTTAATTACCTTTCCATACAGGGAACTGAGAAATGTGTCTTGTTGAATGGATTGGGCCGTGCAGAAGTTGGCAGCTGTTGGTGGTTAAGGTTTGGATGGTTGTCAAACAAGAATGTTTTCACAGTCACCTTCACAAGCTCTGTATCAGTTGGACTGCATTGTGGCCGCCTTCACTGTCAAGGCCGCTGTAAGTCTGAGATCCATAAGGTGATACGTTTAACCTGACGACATGCCTGTGTGTTTTTAAGTGTAGATAAATGTCTGAATATTAATCTACTGCATGTTATTTCTCAAGATTAAGAGCTGTGAGTGACTGAGACGCACCCACAATGGTGATGCATGAGTCCATAACTTGTTTACCCGGTTTGGCAGAGTTGGCCTACAGGTAGTAGTTATGGCTTTAATCAAGTTTGAGCCATTTGAGCTGCTCACATTTCTCCTCCACAGCAAAGAATGTGATGAACTCAAGTAGTGGTGTGCTCACAAATCGAAGGTTGTTGCTGTCAGACAACCACCTATCTTCATGAAATCAACTGTTCATGAGCAAAACAAGAGAAGTGGAATATTATGAAAAGTGATTGAATTTCCTCAACTTGTAGATAATGTAATGTTAGTTTTTAGAGCTGCAGTCATTGGCACCTGTGAATATTTTTATTTCTTATTGAATAAGTGCTTTAGCCAGTTTTTAAGCGGTGACATCAGGCACAGGTGCTGCATTGACAAACCTTTTGTACCTTTACAGAAAACACGCATTCACAGTGCTGGTGGAAACAGTAAGTGAACCATTAACTGGTCAAACCTTTGTTGGTAGAAGTAACTTCAAACAACTTGCACAATGTTTGGCAGGAGTTTTGGACCATTCTTCCTAACAGAGCTGCCTCAGGATGTCTGCTGCTCGTTTTGCTCTCTGAGATCATTTCACAGCACCTCTATTGGGTTAAGGTGTGGGCTCTGACTGTGCTGCTCCAAAACTCATTTTCCCCTCAGTGATGAAGAGCTGTCCGGACCTGGCGGCAGCAGCACAGCCCTAAATAATGGTGCTCCCTCTGCTGTACTTAAACACACCTGAATGGTGTTTGACACCATACACAGTGCTGCCTGTTTTTCTCAGTGTTTCATCGGCCTACAAAACATTTCCCCAGTAGAATTAGAGATTGTCGAGGTGCTTTATAGCAAACTTCAGATGCTATGTAATGTTTTTCAGAGAGCAGCAACTCCCTCCATGGTGTCCATGGCAGCACTCCCTGCTCCATGCAACCGTGCACCATGATGTGTGTATGGTGGACTCATGAACAGAGGTCCGATGACTCCTTTTCAAATTTTACTCTGGTCTTCTGTTTTTAACCTCATGGAGGATTCTGCATCGCACCTTTTGACTGTTCAGGTGAGGTTTTGTGTCTTCTGTTTATCATCAGACACGGCACAAACAAAGCAGGTGTGTGTGTGTGTGACTTGGTGCTGTTTACATGCTGCATGTTGTGGGAGTGAGTGCCTGACCGAGGCGAAACGAGCAGCAGGTTTTAGTGACTTCGTTTTCCTACACTGCCCCATCTCAGCATCATCATGGAAACCTGCACAGCTTGCTCCTTTTCACTGGAGTGGGAATAGAGTTGTCTCAAAATGGTTTTGCCACAGAGTGGTCAAACATTGAATTAATGATGGTGGGTAGGGTTCACTTGCTGACAGGCTGAGGCCAAACCTATTTGTTCTGGTGACTCCCTCCTCCTCCTCCTCCTCCTCCTCCTCCTCCTAACCATGCACCCACCATCCTCACTCCACAAGGAGGTGATTTCCTTTAGTCTGTTGCTTTCTCTGCAACACTGCGTGGTAGGTGATGTCAGTTTAAAAAGCCCAATGTCAGGAATTTGGTGAAACTGTCTAGTTTTGGTTTCATGACCGAGGCTTTTTAGGTTTCTTCACTTGGCTCTGGACATCTCAACTGTCAAATCACCAGTGATTACATTCTTCATATAATAATAGTGACACAGTTTTCTACTTTATGCAAATTTTAATGTGCTTGAAAAGGGTAAAACGATGGCTTTATTTTTATTTATTTATTTGCTAAAGTGGAAATGGTTGAAATGATTAAAGCAAAATGTGACCAAAGTGCTATGAAAACAGACTTTACAAATAAATTATGACATGAAGCATGTGACTAAAATGTCACTCAAGCTTCCAATGAAGAAATGTCAGATCTGGGTGGAGCAGTGAGGCGACTGTAACCATGTTTGACCTTGGACTGGAGCTCTTGGTGACAGCATCTCGCTGTGTCGTCTTCTTCTGCAGTAGTTTATTAGCACTTGACTACAGAATCAGCGGCAACTGTTTGTCTCCATGAACCAACTCCTATATTAGCATAACAGTAATGGATATTACAGGTGTTTTGGAATTGCAGTTTTAATCTGTACTTAATTTGGATCGAAACGTGATGGGTGTTAAATTTTGAAATGGTGTTACTGTATTAAATTGTATTAGTTAATCTCAGTAACACACTTACTTTGATGTGTTCACTTGTTTGCGTCTGAATTAAATGGAGGGTTAAAATAAATTTGCTCTGAGTTCAGTGGATAGGCCAGTCCAGTATATGTA